TATACTTACTTAACATAATAAAAAAAATTTTCTTTTATTTCTGTCTTGCATAAATCTCTTTATATGCCATTTGTAATGTCCACTTGTCTAAAATTTCTCTTAAAAATCCAAACAAGAAAAAAAAATTTGTGCAATAAAAAAAATATTCATTTAAAAAAAAAAAAAAAAAAAAAAAAATGTACATTAAAAAAAAAAAAAATTCAACTGAATAATTTTCCCACCCCCAATATATTTTTGTATTTATTCCTTTTTTTTTTTCCTTTTTGTTTTTCTTGCAGTTAAAAATCTGAATCATGAAACAATTCATTTTTAACTAACAGTAAAATAACCATTCCTTAGTTATTTTTAATTTTTAATCATTTCACCCCAAGCAAGGCAATAAACCCACTAAGAAGCAAAAGGGTTACTGAGTGTGAAAGAATATGAGAAAAACATATTATTAAGAGAGAGAGAGAACAATAAAAGAACAGGAATTATGAAGACAGAAGATAGCATGAAAATGTTTCATTGAAAATGTTTTTCAAAATAATTATGAAAATGTTTCATTGAAAATGTTTTTCAAAATAATTATGAAAATGTTTCATCTAAAATTCTTTTCAAAATAATTATGAAAATGCTTCATTTAAAACATTTAAAAAAAATGTCTTTTTGTTACCTACTGACATATTTTTTTTTTTATTAGTTACTATTTGTTTTCCATTTGAAAATTATCTATTCAATGATATTTTTTGTTGCAATGCTATAAGAAAGTGATGAAAATTTCTTAAAACTCCTTCCCCAAATCAGTATTTTGTGATTACATGCAGATCTGTAAAATTCCTCTTTCACTCCCAGTAAAACCTTGCATCTTAGTGTCATTATCGCCTTGCTTGGGTGCAAAATTATTAAAAAAAAAAATGGTTGAAGAAATTTGGGAAATAATGTACCAAGTGCATTGAGCTACAGGGTGAAAATTTCAAACAGCATATTGAAGTCATTCTTCTTGGTTGGGCTGAGAACTTTTCAAAACCCCATTATAATTCTTCTAAGCCAGACTGAAATTCGGCATGTCAGATGTACTTCTAGATACAAATAATATAGATTTTCAATATAGGCCAAGTAGGACTGCCCATTAAAATCCCAACATCAGTAATATCAATTTTAATAAAAAGAATCAATAACAGAAGAAACTAACAAATTTAATTACCTGATATACAAATTAAATTGATTAGCAAAACCAATTTTAAAATTATCGAAGTATTTGAAATTTGTGCATTTCATTTTTTTGTTTTTGCTGTTATAGTTCTTGTGTCTTTTATTAACCATAAGAAGGGGTGCTGAAAAATACTTGACTAGACCAAGAAGGGATACAAAATGCAATTTTGATGTTTGATCAGATTTTGGGAAGTGAGTGGGGTCCAAAGAAATTTTCAGCATCCCCTTGTAAATTATTTTTTTTAAATTTATGAAAGAAAAATACATCAAGAAGATTATTGTTAATTAAGGTTAAGTACCTAATAATTTTAACCAGGAATTTTAAAAAAGTCACTAGCAAGATGCTTAGAGTAGAAAAGAAAGAGAGAAAGAAAAAGAGAAAAATGAGAAAAAAAAAAAGGAAGAAAGACAAAGAATAGAAAAAGAAAGACACACACACACATATATATATATATATATATATATATATATAAGACAAGAAAAACTTCTTATCAGATGCATTTCATCCTCTGAAGGACTTTATCAAGGCAAATGTCGGATTTATTTTGTTGCGTGTGCTTATATGCAAAAGCAATGATGTCATTGGTTTATCAAGGCTTTTAAATTTGAGAATGTTCATGTATATAAACACGTGCAACAAAATAAATCCTACATTTGCTTTGATAAAGTTTCTCAGAGGATGAAATGTTTTGGCTAAGAATAGTTTTTCCTCTTGTCTTTTTATTCATTTTGTTCCTTTATAGATAGACTTTATCTGAAAATAATATATATACATATAAAGAAATATAGTCTTAAGGTGTGCTATATTTATGGGATAAAGTGCTCAATATCAGAGATAGAGCGTTCCTCTAAGTGTTGAATTCTATGTTCACTTTTATATTTATATATATATATATATATATATATATATATATATATATATATATATATAATTTATTTAAAAAAAATTATAACATAAATATGTTATTATTAATATTATCAATGATGATGTTGAATGTTAATAACATTCAACATCATCACTTGATAAGACACCGGAGGTGTTGAAACAAAATGGCTACTTTTGTAGTTATTTTATAACACATTTATGTTATAATTTTTTTAAATAAATAATTATATCTTTTCTACTCAGTATTGAGCACTCTTTTAAGAATAGTAATTGTTGTTTATTGGAATTCATTCCGTATACACCAATTATATACTTGTATGTATATATATATATATATATATATATATATATATATATATACGAGAGAGAGAGAAATATTGCACTACATAAATTAACTTACTGAACATTTGTCATGTAAGTAGCAATTGAGTAACAAGAGATGAGCAACTTTTTGTCAGTGGTAAATGGATTAGGGGTTAGAGGGTGTAAAATAATTCATCAACCACAAGTGCATGTGAATACTGTCAAGGCTAGAAAGTAAGGATTTAGCAGCTCCAGCCCAGATACATCGGTGGTAACTCCATCTTGATATACTCATGAATGAGCCCTGAGTTATAAAAAAAAAAAAAAAAAAAAAAGTGTCAGGTTTGAATCTCCCCGAAGGTAACTTAATAGAACAAATGTCCAGACAAGTATGAAAAACAATAAAGACAAAAGGTACTAATTGAATGAATTATTAATTATCACTTAATCTAACAAAATGCTGCAGCATTAGACACTGCTTTTATTTATTCATGAAGATAGTCATTACAATAAAATAACCAAGAGCATCATATGACTGGCTTCTTACTGTTGAGTTTGCACCACTCATCCTCAGCATGTCCTGTGGGGACCATTTGTCGCACAAGGAGATCCTGGACTAAGTCTGCACGTTAAACATTTATTCGGTATATCCACTCAAATGAATTGTAACACAATGGAAAATTTAAAGTAGGAGCCCATGCAATTATGGACTAAGTCCTCATCTTCTCCCCCCCCCCAGCTATGGGTAAATAATAGGACAGACCGGGTTCTGTAGCCTTGGATGGCAACTGGTCTACCGCAGAAAGAAATGGCAAGCTACTGTGGGAAAAAAATCTGCCTTATCAGTTACATATCAAAAGATACATGATTGCCTAAGTGTGTATCACATATGGCACTTAAATGAACTGACAAAAATTACACAAAACACTTTTTTTCACTCCAAGCAAGGCAATAAAGCTACCAAGACGCATGGGCTTACTGAGAGTGTAAGAAACTGAAATAACTTTATTACTCTTATCTAACTGGAGGCAAAAATTGTTGCCATCTAATTCTCTCCCTTAGGTGCATTCTGCTATCTCAAGAGGGTTCCTATAAATAAACACTTGTCAACTGTTTTTTCCAGTATTTTAAGCTGGAAATAACTTACTCCTACTTTGGAACGAGGTTAAACTTCTGTTTTCTGATGCCATTTTGAATTCGTCTACACTCTGAACAAGGTGTAATATCAGTTAAACCCACATTAATTTTGTTGTGATTTTTTGTAAACAAAAATGGCCACATCAACATTCAATGAAGCCCTTAATCAGAAGTTTTTAAAGAGAGTGGACAATAAAAGAACAGGATTCAAAGACACTGATAATTGACATTGCATTGGAATTTTTGAAGATCACAGTTGACAGGAAAGAAAGAAGTCAGAAAAGAGTTCTACAAGGGAGAAAGTGGGAGGTATTGCCTGGGGCAAGACTCCCTGTAAAACCTGGAGCTTCAGTATATTATATATTAAATCATAACTCTACTGGATCTGGTATGCCCAACTCATACTGACAACAGTAGTGGCTTAGCCAAGATGGCTGAAACTTGAAAGACATTACATACCAGGAGATCATAATTAATTCTTGGTTTTATATGATATCTATTGCAGCAATAGAGGGATATCTACAAACATGACCTGAAATCTGAGTGGTCACTTGGAAAGCGACAGCTGCAGATTGTTGTGTTTGTAAAATCCTGTATATATAATATACAGGATTTTACATACCAGCATCACTTTTTTTTTTTTGCTTGTAGTGAGTCCAGATAAAAATAAATATAAACAAAAATAAAAAGAATTAAAACAAGGCATTTGTGCTTTCCTTTAAAATCCTCATTGCTTTCTCTCTCATACACTTCTCTCTCTTTCCTTCTCTCTCTATATACTTCTCTCTTTCCTTCTTTCTCTCTCTATATACTTCTCTCTTTCCTTCTTTCTCTCTCTATATACTTCTCTCTTTCCTTCTTTCTCTCTCTATATACTTCTCTCTTTCCTTCTTTCTCTCTCTATATACTTCTCTCTTTCCTTCTTTCTCTCTCTATATACTTCTCTCTTTGCTTCTTTCTCTCTCTATATACTTCTCTCTTTCCTTCTTTTTCTCTATATATACTTCTCTCTCCTTTCTCTCTATATATACTTCTCTCTCCTTTCTCTCTATATATACTTCTCTCTCCTTTCTCTCTATATATACTTCACTCTCAAATAACAAGAAGGTAACCTTCAAATAAAAATAGAAGAAAGAAAAAGAAAAGAGTGAACCTGACCAGATTGTAAGAATTAGGGGATTTTACTGATACAAGTTCTACTAATTAACTCATAGCTGAGGGAGAAGAAGTGGATTCAGACCTTTTCTAAAGGTATTTGCCTACAAGGGAATGTAATGAACCCAATTGGAATTGAAACTTGGCTCTCCAATTTCCAATTCCAAGCCATTATCCGTTAGACCATTCACACATGATATGCCCAAGTGTTCACCCATCTAGGTAGTGACCAGGCTTGACATTGCTTAACTTTGATGATCATATAAGAACTGGTGTTTCAACATGATATTGCTGTAAGCCATTTATGCCCTTTTGCACATCCAAGCTTACAACATTTGGTATTCCCGAGCAGCCACTCATCTAGGTACTGACCAAACTCAATGTTGCTTAACTTCAGAAATCATATGAGAACCAGTATTTCAATGTGATATGGCCATTAAGATACCAGCCACACATCCACACTTACAGCACCTGGCATTCTCAAACAGTTACCCATCTAAGTACCGATCTGTCTCACTATTGCTCAACTTTGGTGAGTGTACAAGAATCAGTACAGCCATAAGACATAACAACCACACATCCAAGCTTACAGCAGTTGGTATTCTTGAGTGATCACCCATCTAGGTACTGACCAGGCTCGACATTGCTTAACCTTGGTGATTGTACAAGAACTGACATTTCAACATGATACGGCTATAAGCCATACTAATTACACATCCAAGCTTACAGCACCTGGTATTCTTGAGTGATCACCCATCTAGGTATTGACCAGGCTCGACATTGCTTAACTTCAATGATCATGTGGGATAGCAACTACCCAGTAATTCTTCTTCATGGGCAGTGGCCGTGCCATGGACTGCCACCAGCTTATTCAGCTATAGCTGATGCTGTTCCACATTTAACTGAATCTTCAATAAGCACATCCATTGCCTAATTAAACAGACCGTGTCTAAAAGGAGAAGACAACTATTTTCAGTAGCAAACTCAAAGGCATTTGTCTTTGGTCTTTTCTTGTTATTAATACTTTTTCTAATGATGCAGCTAAAATATGGAAACTTCTAAAAACTGAAATAATGAGCATCTTGAGAAATAATGAGTAAAAAAAAGCAAACAAGTCGATAAAGAACAAATGAATTCTTTCTCATCTCTTTGGCTTCCTTATTTTTATTCTGTTCTCTCTTCAATTAAATATCTTTGAAATCACCTTCAGATACAGATATGTGTGTATGTTACCAGGGCACATCTCTAAGCAGGTATATGTGCAGATTTAAACACCTTTATAGATGTGTATCTCACATGTTCATTCAAATTTATATTAACCCATACTCCTGCTATCAGATTAAACTGATACTATTTTTTTTATAGTGAGGCTCACCCTATACAAGACCTGGGAGCCATTCAAGATAGAGGGTTATACAGTAAGAGGCACAGTTTATGCAATGTGGAGAAGATAATGCTTAATCTTCGATTTGAACAGGTTAAGATTCTAGTGATCTGGAAAACATTCTCTTGGAAATTAGTTCCACAGAGCAGTGGTTTTCAAGAAGAAGCTGCTTGAGTAGACTGTATTTCTCACCAATGAAATACAAAAGAAATGATGGTTGTTTGCTACAATGTGTATGGCAAGGTGGATCTTAGCCATGAAAGTAAGAACTGATGAAATTAAGGAATGTAGATCAGTGAGAGGCTAGTAACATCTCACCTGTGAAAGAGATAGCCAACCCTTTGTGGCTTAATTAAAGCTGAAACATATTTAACATTGTAGGAAGTTGCTTACAGAACCTAGTGTTCCCAAGCAGTCACCTATCTAAGTACTGACCGGGCTTGACATTGCTTAAGTTAGGTGATTGAATCATCTACTGTGACCACTTAGCTCAAAATTCATGTTTTTTTTTTTTTTAAATTCAGATGAAAAGAAAATCATATTTTATAAATACTCAAAAAAAAAAAATTGTGGTATTTAAATGTTATTTAAATGTTAAATAGTTTAGATGTCAGGAAGATATCTGCTTATAAATTAACATACACAGACAAAGGTACATCAATAAGTTTGATCCAAAGCAGACATGTCAATCCATATGAATTGCTAAGTCTGCAGCTAAGTAAGATGATTCACTATATCATGCTAGACAATTCTTTGACAGAACCTATCTTACATACTTATAAGTCTGCCATTCTTCCTTGCTTTGAATATTGCTCCAATATCTGGAAATCCTTGATAAAGTCCAAAGAAGAATGTTATTGGTCCTGACCTGGAATCTCTGATTTAGTCTCTTTTCCACTGCTGCAACATAGATTCCCTATGTCTTTTCCATAAATACTTTCATAGTAATTATTCTATTGAACTTTCCTCGATGATACCTACAGTAGTGAGCATAAAGATCAGAACAATGTTAAGAAAAAGTCTAAATGTGAAATAACTTTTTATTTTAAAGCTTCATAGAACATTTTATCAAGGAAAAATAATGTTTGGAAGTTGTTAAATGAAAGAGTTAAGGAAAAGAATCCAACTAACAACGAAGAACTATGGACTAATTTGAAAGGAGAATGGGAGAAAATATCCGTTAATGAATGCAAGACATTAATTCACTCAGGTAGCAAAAGATGTCAAGCTGTTATTGAAAGTAAAGGTTTACACATCAAGTACTAATGAATTATGAACACTTTTCATCTGGATATGATGCATCCATTATAATAGTATGATTTTGTTAATTGTTCTGATGTTTTTGATCATCTATTTTTTCGAATGTTATATAATTATTCTTATAACTCTATCAAAATAAGTTTATAGAGCTTTATATTTTGGAATTATATAATTTAACTTTATATCCTTATTTTCCTTGATAAAATGTTCTATGAAGCTTTAAAATAAAAAGTTATTTCACATTTAGACTTTTTCTTAACATCGTTCTGATCTTTATGCTCACTACTGTAGATTTTATGAATTTAAGAGCAGTACTAAACTAATGGCAAGGTCTCATCATTTTACAGTTGAAATGGCTTGATGTAGCAGTGTTATAACATGCTTTGTAGTACTTATAAGCAATGTTTCAGTAACTTGCCATGTTGCCTGTATAACCGAGTTTGAAGACTAACTCTAGATGGCTTCTTCTCTTACGTCTGACATGGAGCTCTTTATTTATTATTTTTTTATAAATACTTTTTTTTTTATTAGTATCTCCCCCACTCCTCTTTCTGGAGAATTCGCCAACATACTTGTCTTTGTAGCGTTTCCATCTTGGATCCACCTCCAGTTCTTCAGTATGTTTTCTTTTTCTGGAACTTGTCCTTGTAGGTTCCACAACTTTTTGTGGTGCTGGCACATAGAAAACATCATATAGCATTTTTATCAGTTCTTCCAATGTTTCAGGTCTTTCATCAATGAAACTTTTTTTTTTTATGTTCAAATCTTTTTCTTTTTACCATGTAAATCAACTTCCTGAAACTCGCTGATATTATGCCATCTTCCCACATTTCTTTGTCACCCTCATATGCTCTAAAGAACACTTAATCACTGACCTTGAAACGTTTGGTGTCGTTTTTATTATCTGCTTGTGTTTTTCGACTTGGTAATAACTTGTCGAACACCGATTTTATTTTTCTAGCAGACATTAATTCTGGCAGTGACATGCCTGGTGGAGTATTGGGGTTAAGAGTTATATGGTAAACTCTCAGAAAATTTTGAAGTGCTTCCTCAAGACTTTCTTTCTTGAACATTTCCAGAAACCATTCCACTTATCTGTTCGACCTTGGGTTGATACGGTGGTGGTTGTAATATGTTCAATGGAGAACATCTTACAAGATTCTTTAAATTCTTTACCTGTGAATTACATTCTGTTATCAGAGACTATGGTATCTGGTATGCCATATCTTGCAAACAGTTCATGCAATAAACTCACTGTCACTGAAGATGTTGGATTTTGGCACTTATAAATTTCCAGCCATTTAGTGAAACTATCAACTACCACAAGATAATATGATCCATCCACAGGACCTGAAAAATCTGTATGCAGTCTTGACCACAGTGTGTCTGTCTTTGGCCAAGGTTCTATCTTTATGATAGGTAGTTTTGCTGTCAGAGCACAACCTCTGCAAGCTTTCACTACTTTTTCAATATCTTCCTCCATTCTGGTCCAATATATGAAACTTCTCATCAGATTTCATTCTTGAAATACCAGGATGTCTGCTATGAAAATCCTTCAATATTCACTTCTATAACACACTAAATATTACAACCCTTTGTCCGAACATTACTACACAGTTGCATAGCGAGTAAGTGTTTAAATCTGGATCTCATTCTTTATTTTTTCAATTGCTTTTTATTTTTGCAATAAAGACGTCATTTTCTGTTTTTTTAAATTTCTTCTACGATAACTGGTAACTCTTGTACTACATTGTACAAAATGTTTTTTTTTATTTCCATTTTGCTTTTTAGTGCTGCAATGACCATGTCCTCAAATGGTTCCACATTTTTAGTTATTAATCTTGATAGTGTCCTAATTTTTAGACAGTACTCCATCATAAAATCATAGTTTAATAAGCCAGTGTCGTAGTCTATTAGCTGTATGCAAAGATATTCCTTTCTTAGAACCATATATTATTAATAGAGTCTGTAGTCTATTTGCAACCTAAAATTTCTTCCATGAATAAATTTATGAAATTTCTTCACAGCAAGTATAATTACTAAAGTTACTTTTTCTATCTGGCTGTATTTTTTCTCTGCTGGTAAAAGCAAGCATGAAGCATAAGCAAAGTTTTTCCTCTTAGTACCATTGTATTTGCATAAAATCACTGCTCCAATACCATACTCGCCAGTATCTGATGCCACTACAATTTCTGCTTTTGGATCATAGTGTGCTATTGATAAATCTGACATAAGTCTTTTTTTTTTATTTCATCAAACACTTTTTGACAGTTATCATTCCACTTTACTCTTTTTTTAAGTAGATCATTCAGTGGAGCTCTCAAATTATGCATATTATGTACATATATTTGATAGTAATTAGTAAGTCCTAGAAAAGTTTGTAATGTAGTCACTTTTGTTGGTGGAAGCATATTTTTAATTGCACTCGCCCTTGATGGATCTGGTTGACAACCATTTTTATCAATAATTTGACCATGGTATTTAATTTTCGGCAAAAATAATTCACATTTTTCTTCACCGAGTTAGAATTCATACTCTTATTTTTACCAAAATTGTTTTCACATGTCCAGCATCCTGTTCTTTAGATACACTTTGGATTAAAATGTCATCCAGATATGCCACCATGAAATCACAATTGGCAAGCATGGTATCCATAGCTTGTTGAAAAGTAGCTGGTATCACCTTTATACCAAAAGGAAGTCGGCTAAACTTATATAATCCTCTGTGTATATTTATAGCCACTAATTCTGAACATTCATTTTCAATCTGAATTTGTTAATACACCTCTGCAA